TGTGTGTGTGTGTGTGTGTGTGTGCGTGTGTATGTGTGTGTGTGTCTCACATTTTGTCCCGCACTTTCAACTCGGGAACTACAGAAGCTAGGTGGCTGAAATTTTAGTATAGTGTTCCCTGCCAACCGGTGACGCGGCAAATTTAAATTCAGCCTTCCCGTGCCCGCTGGTAACACGTACGGCCCCGTAAAATTTTTTTTATCATTGTACTGTCAAAACTGCGAGTTATTTCAGGCAATGGACTACGAGACGACCCAGCAGGAAGAGTTGGAAGCACTGGAAGCAATCTATCCGGATGAGCTGGAAATTACATGCAACGAGTATCCCAATATTTCACTGAAAATTTCCTTGCATTCTCATCCTGTAGGTTTTTTTTTTTGTCAAACACATATTCGCATACGTAGAAAGTCAAAAGGACAAAACCCCCCTTGTGTAAATTATACGTAGAAAATAAAAGGGCCAACTCCTCCCCGGTTAAGCACTCTATGTGAGAAACAAAGTCATTTGAATGCAGTCCAAGTGGTAGAAAATTTCGATGTCTCTCTCTTCGGAAGGTTTTTTTAGATAGAAACTGATAACAGTTTTAACTCTCTTTTTTTCGCCTCTGCTCATCTTCCCCATCTACAGCACAACAAAGGCGCGATTTTGACGCCATAGTGATGAAGCTGCTAAAAGTTATTTTCCCCCTTAATGTTTCATTTCGTTTTTTTTTTTTTTTTTTCAGGATAAAGATGCAGAAAATACACCACATACATTCCAAGTGACATTGGTACTTCAGTTGCCGGCCAGTTATCCGGATATTATTCCAGTGATTGAAATACAGGGCTTGGAAGATTGTTTTAGCTCTGAACGAATCGAAAGGGTTCAACGAACATTGTGTGGTATTGCACAGGACAGTCTTAGTATGCCGATGGTTTTCACGATTGTATCCAGTCTACAGGTCCCACTTTTTTACGTTATTACTAATAATGCAAGGAATGCAAGGGTTTTGCGTTAATAATAATAATAATGATAATGATAATAATAATAATAATAATAATAATAATAATAATAATGTACTGTTCGGTCTGTGTATGCATAGCTAAGGGATGAAACACAGGGACTGGGTCATATCATATACATGACATTCAAGTGAAATCCTTCTATTCTTCTATTTCGATCCGGCCGATGGGATAACCACAGTCTCTCTGCGATTTCTTCGTTTGTTTCGATGGTAAATTGGTACTAGCATATCTGCCATCAGTATAGTTGTGGTAGTTGCTGTAGGAATTTGCTATCATTTAGGCTACTTCCCGAATATCACTGCTGTTTTTTTTACAAATAACGAATATGGATCTTTGACTGGTAATTTACCGAGGGCTTCTTTACTACCTCTCTTAAATCCCCACTTGGTCCTTGACTGCAGCAGTGGAAGACAGGGAAGAATACTAGCACAAGATGTTATTCTTCCGACAAGAGCTTCGCTTCAAATAAAACGACGAGTGAAAAGTCGCGTAAAACGACAAGCCGGGGCGCCACATAAGCTGTTCAACAGAAGAAGGACGCTGGCGGTGTTGAGGCGAGACGCTAGTAGCATTAGTCGAGGCAAGACGTAGTGCACCAATTACAGGGTTACACCTCCTTCAATCCTCTGAGTTCCTGGAATAAAGGCTTCGATGTCACAGCAATACGTCATACCTCGATTGTGCTACACTTTCCACTTCTGTAAACTCCTGTGTGATTATATTAATAATGCAGGAGCCAGGGTTAATAGAGACGAATTCTTGAACTGTGCGATTAATAGTTTTGGATTTTTTTGGAACTAATTTTATTGATTTTCCACATTATTTTAGGAGGAAATTGGTCATCTGGTGGAGGATTTTGAAGCTAGGAAAATAAAAGCAGAAGAGGAAGCAAAAGAGCAGAAAGAAGCTTTAGAAAGGAAAAAATTCGAAGGTATTTTTCTTTTGTTTTCCCAATTTTAGCTTTACTTGGTTTGCCAAAAATTCTCTTAGAACTTTTAAACTGTTACTGTTACTCTTCATTGGTGTCCCCGTTTCTAATACTGATAAAGCCAGCAGGCTTTTCGTTCTACCTTGATCAACAACTGCTGACATCAGCATAATTCTTTGTAGGCGTTTATATGGATCTTTCTTTTTCATTGACAGTTAGTGGCTATCTTTCTCAGTATCCACTTAAATAAAAACTGCATGCGTTACAGTTCGTCAGTTCAGTTATTTTTGTCCATCTGTTGTTTCTCATTCTTGTCACACCGTTGATTTTGCATATAAGTTAAGACAGTTTTTCCAAAAATGTGATAGCAGCTTTTTTTCGGAATCCATTTGACCGGTAATTAATTTTTAATGTTAATCATTGAGCCGAATAATTGTTAACGAGCACGGAACTTTAGCAAGCGTGGATCTTTTGTAACATTTACTAGATGAACTTGGATATAAGCAATCTGTGTTTCATCCCCTAACTGTGTAGATTATGGACAGAATAGTGGATTAGACCTGAAAATGGTGGAGCTGCAACTTAAAGGAAGCGGCTGTATTATTCGTTTCAGCACATATCTACATTTTGCTTAAAATTGGGAACCTTGGATCATTCTGTGATCTTAGTTACGATCAATTGCTTGAATTTAATGAGCACACCTTTCCCCTCCAAATAGAACAGTCGTCCAATTCGACCAGCCTCCCCTCAGCCAATAACAGCGCTTTTCAAAAATGCAAATTTAACCCCTCTTCCCCAAATCACGGACTTATGCTTAGAAAAGGCGCCACACAGAAACTTGTTCACAGCCCCTGAATATGAAACAGAAGTCTGAAACCATCTGCAAAATGGATCAAATGTCCGGATAACTCGGTAAGCATCAAAAAAGCCTTGTTAGTAAAGAGTGGTTATTTTCTGGTTTTTTGAGTATTTCCTAATCCCGGAATTATTGTCAGCATGGAATAATGGCAAATATCTGGTCAGCTACTCAAATCAGTCAGTTTTTTCAGCCTCATTTTCACTCAGTTAGTCAGTTTCTTGGATAGGGATGCACCAATTTTTACCGCATTCAAGAACATCGTGTAAACGGTACTCGCAATAAAATTGCTAGCAAATTAAGCTGGTTTTGCACATATCTTTGCTTCTATTAGAAGTGAATTTATCAAACAGTACGATTTATTAGAAAACTTAATTTTACACAATGGGATGGGTATTTCACCGACTTCTGGTTTCTGCTAACTTTGTGTTTAGTAGTGAACAAGAAAGAAAAAGGAGGGAATTTTTTTTTTGGAAAAATAATTTTTTGAAAGGAAAAAATGATAAAATTTTGGCGTTGCTGTTATTTATCGAAGGTTAGTGCGATTAAAATTGCGCAACTCAAAAATTTGAAGTTTTAAGCGAAAAATTCAATCATAGTTACGTCAAAAATTGTCTGAAAAGTTATAACAAGAATAATTGATTCCAGAGGCAATAATTCGCTGAAATAATTGTTAATTGATAATATGGATTTGCATCTTTTTTCCTCGCAGTTTTCCCACTGACTACGATTTTGTGCTTTTCATTTCCAGAAGCACTAAGTTTAGCGGTGAAATGGCTGCAAAATGCGACTTTTATTTAAATGACTGATAAATTTTCAAATAAGAACGGCATTTTGAATAAGGAGATATTTTGGTGAGAGGAAAACCAAAATTGGGAAAGAGAATCCTTCCTACCACTAATACTTGCATACTTCAGCAGCTGTATGTCATCGACGTTCGTTGTCACGCCATCAATGCAACTTGCAACTTTAAATACCACTGATATATCAGCGCTTTTATACCTGTCTGATCGGTTGCTTTTTCTACCGGTTGAGTGCTGGATTCTGTTAGTTTAAGCCTAG